TGGTGGTGGTGGTGGTGGTGGTGGTGGTGAATCAGGGCTGAACTCATTCGCACCCACTGACACTCGCACACGATGTCTCGACTCCTCCCTCCAACCTGCAGGCCACAACTTGAGCGCCAGGCAAACCATTAGTATGGACGATGCACTACGTTGCACACAGAAGTCTTCTGATCCACCGAGATCCAATGCAAAGAACGCAAAATAGCGACTAAACACACACAAAGCGGTTTCCTTACCACTCATGCACAGGGTACATTGCTTAACGGACTCGGACCACACAGACTCGTTGTTCGACATGCAAAACAGGTGAACAGGATGTCACGCCCGTAACGCTTTGTAGCTCGAGCTCATTAAGCCTGTCTAGGAGGTTTAAGGCGTGAACAAAACAGAGGCCTTGAATTCTCATCCTGTGCTTGGATTTCATTACCTTTTTGTCAGTCAGTTTTTTTACAAAAAAAAACAAAACACGAGGAATAAAATTGCTTGCAAAAGGTTGTCTTTAAAACTACTTAAAGTCTCCTCAAGCCTCTTGCACGTTATTTAGTGCAAGCTGCCGACAACACCAACAAGCGTCGCTACGTGGGATAGGAGAAGTAGGCAGAGAGTTTGATACATGATCTTCCAATTCTTCCTAGAAAAAGGAGACTCGGTGGTCGAGCTCTACAGAATGTGCGTTAAGTGTCCCGTCGAAGATGTGGGAAGCCAGACTAAATCCAAATAAAACAAAAGGTAGTCCTCTTCCTCTCCGGTTTGCAGTTTGCAGGAAGTTGACTTTGGTGACACTTTTGCTGTTTGCTTTGTCAACATTCCTGCATCACATGACTCGTATCAGTCGCCCTCGAATCTACTCATTTTTTTTCATTTAAGCATTGCTCTTTCATGGCCACAATGGCTGCATATCAAATTTAGTTTCAAGTCTTGCCATAGAGAAATTCCACAAAGCGGTGCATTGCTGTAGAAGAGATTTTATGTCTAGATGGCAAAGTTTATGTTTCAGCGCTGGAGCTTAGTCTACCAAGAGCCAATTTTGTAGGGATTATCCTGGCATAGGAGGTAGCGCAAGATCGCCTGTAAGTGAAGAGTCTGATGGTCTGTGCAACAAATTCACATTGAAGTCACCACTAACTCCTTGAACAGATTGAATGCTTAAAACAAGCAATGTGATGAAGAAGACTCAGCTAGGGAAAAATGTTTCCATGAAAACCACAATTGTCCGCCTAGTATTTGCTTCCACCATTTCTCATGGAGTAAAAAAAAAAGCAATTTTTCACATACTTGAGGCGTGAGAGCTCAGGTAAGGCAAAGCCAAAAAACCGGCGGTAAATGCGCCAAGGGTCTATCAGTAGGCGGAACTCACATCAAGGCTGAACTGATGGAGAAGTTTTGCGGGCACCCGTTCACCGTCCACAGAGATGGCTTGTCGAAGCCACTGTTTCCGTCGACCTTGTGAATCGGATGAGCCTCTTCTGTCCGAATCATCCTCATGAAGTGGTTCAATAATTTCAGTAGGAGAGAGGAAAGGATCAGCCTCGTCTACGATGAAAGTAGTTTTGATGCGACCTTCAAAACAGGGTTTTTGGGGCGACTTCCGTAAAGGCTTCGGTGATGGTGTTTGATCGTGATCTAGAGATAAGAAAAGTCAAACCTTAGCGAATATTCAACCGTGAAAGAAAGTGGAAGGGTTCGAAATCGATGCAGAGACTTCAGCTTATTGTGCAAATTCACATATTAAAAGGACATCAAAGGTGGCAGCTATAATCTTCCTTCAGGGGCTAGCTGATGTCAATTAGCTATTATTACTCCTTAATTAATCTAAACAGCCAAATAAAAAGTTTGGCTATCATTTGCGAGAGAGAAGGTGTACACAACCAGAGATAAAGCACGGTAATGCTCTCTTCTTCAACTCGTTCTCTCAAGCTTCACCTCACTGTTTTCCAAAAAAATGAAAATATCCGCAACTGTATTGCCCTTATACAATTGCCTTCCACTTAAAATTGTTCCTAAATGGGGGCCAAAAAAGAAATGAGGAAAGACGAATTCGTGCTATTCATCTACTTTTTGGACGGAAGAAACGTGACCTGATGATATTGGATTTGCTAGATCTCAGAATCTTTCGCTTCTTCTCCTCCCTTCCACTTCTTTGCAAGGCATCACTACGCCCTCAGACAGTCAGGATATGTAAAATATTCAACTCTGGCTTTCACCTTTTCGTCTTAAATGCAATCTTACAGGACACTAAACACAGACACACCTCCAAAGCATTAAATTGTAGAGCCTCTAAATACTGACTCTCATCTTAATGAGTCTACTAGGCTGTTTAGTTAAACACCTCGGTAGAAAAAGGAAATGAAGAAAAAAGAACGCATAAAATCAAAGGCCATGGGCCTTTCAAACACTTGAAACCTGAACTCCACTTGAAACAAAAACTTTCCTTTTTCCGTCTCGTTTTTCTTCTTTTTTCGTATTCCCACAACTAGAGTACCACCTCACAATGACGTGTGACGTTGCACTACAGTGCTTATTTTGTTGTGAGAACATTCTTTAAAAAAATTCCTGAGACTATTTTTAATCTTGAGATTCGGCATTTATAGAACGTCGCACGAATGGCATTCCTTCTTATTTGCATGATGATGCTGGTTCTGCCGCTTGTGGTGCCTTGTGCGAGCTTAAATCTGTTGATATACTTCCGAAAAAGTGACATCTCAAAGGTTACATTCGCCGCTGCGATTTTAGCAAGTGTGGCTTGATTATGCCAAGCGGCCGAAAATAAGCCTAATGAGTAAAGAGTAAATAGGGTTCCCATTGTTCAAGAAGTCAAAACTTTCAATGAAGTAAAAGTGAAGTCGAAAAATGTATAGACTTGCGTGCAGACACTGGAAATGGCTGTTTTTGAGTATCAGAGCTGACTACTGATCATCCCACGCCAAATACACACACTTATATGAAAATTACTCATGTATGTAATTCGCAAGTTGAAAAGAAATTGTGTTCGACGTCTGTATGTAGGTGAAAAGGAACTTAAATCCCACTTTACTTAAATTTCGAGCGTTATCAGTGACTGAGGCCAAACTATGACAGGGGACGTAGTAATTCCCCAGCCTACATGTATAAATAAAGCTTTTATAAAAAATGTCGTAAGTAAAAATGCAATCTGGTGTAGTGAATGCGCTCTCCAGAACTAAGCTTAGCAAGATACGTGTTACAAGCATAGGTAAAAGTCGAAAGAATTGTATATTTTGTTTTACTTTCCAATGCAGCAGTGGATGAGGGCTTTATTTAGATGAAATTACACCAAAAGACCAAAAGTATAAACGAGGCAGCACGTAGTTTTAGAATCTATTACAAGAAATAACAATCTGGATAGCCCACTCACAAAAAAAAATAAAACTAGCAGAGAGCTTAACATACATACTCTAAAAATGAACCACTCTATACAGTTATATCATCAAAATTAGACCGTTTCAGGACAGAACAATAAACGAAGTCAGATGTTGCCCACAACTCGCACATAATTTACAAATTCAAATACCCACAGCCCTACAAAAGAATTAAAATTATCGAGCAAATTTATAAAATCGTATAGTTATGGACGCACTTGAGTAGAACGTAAAAAGAACATACAAAAATAGAAAGTGAGCAGCTTCATGAAGAGCGAAAGCAAGCGATCAATGGTAAAAACGTGAAAAGAATTTAAAGCAAATTGCACGCCTCCAATTTTAAGACAGAAAACCATACTCGGAGTATGCAGTGGAAGGCTTTTCAAAAATTACATACTTACTTAATCCCAATGGCTTCCGCAAAATACTTTTCTCAGGAAAATGTTTTACCCCTTCCATTACTGAACATCTGTTCTCCTAAGTATAGAATTCCAATTTAGTGACCCTCTTTTATTTAGTCATTCCACGTGGTGAGGATGGGTATAAACAAAGTATAAGGTCATAAAATCGAGTAGAAAAATGAAAAATATAGTCAATTATTAATGCTTGATGCCTGTCACTTTACTTTAAAATATAATTTTAGACAAAGTTCATATAACTAAAAAACAGTAATTTATAAATTCAAAATAAAAGCTGCCCAAAAACTAAATTTACGTTGCTGTTTCGTAAGCAACTGTTGGCATACAGTGTTTGTTGACCAGTTTTCAATCATAGGTTCCTAGCATCTTTTAAAAGGATGTTGCCTATATATTTTGTATTACATTGTTCCGAAAGAAACATAAATGCAGCTTTTTGAAAATAAGCATTAGATTGTAGCGGTTAAGACTCTTCATAGGGTGGAGGATGTATCGTTCTGAGACTTTCTGGAGAGAATGATGAGGACTAAATGGGGAGTCTCCACTTATTAGCCAAACAGACATTCAAGGATTGTTGCCCCTGCGGGTGCACATTAGAACCAGCAGATTGAGCCGTCTCATCGACGCGGTAGTCCCCAAGCGCCAGGAGCTTCAATTCTCAACGGAGTTCAACACTCGGTTTCGCCCGTGGACTCCCAAAGGACGGCCAACTACTGGTGGACAAAGGCGCGCGCTTCGAAGCCGTTCCTCAGTACAA